CCTTGAATGCGTCCGTATCAGATATTCTTGATAAATCAGAAGAGGCCAGCCTACTCGAAGAACCTGAGCCCATGAAGAATCCCCCATCGGCCAGGAACAATAAAAAATATTGTTGCTATCATCGGGATAATGGGCACCATACCGATGAATGCCGAGCTCTCAAGCAGGCGATCAAAAACCTCATCAAGCAAGGACATTTCAAGGAGTATATTGATGACTTTACTCTCTCACAAGAGAAAAATCAAGGGGAATCGAGTAAGAAGCGTTGTGATCAAAAAGGGGTATGCACCCTCAATTTGATCTTCGGGGGATCGCACTTCGCAAGAAACTCGCGAGGTGCCCAGGAAAGGTATGCTCGTGAAGCCCATCACGACCCTATCAGAGTGATGAGCACGACGCAGCGACTATAAAAAGTTTACAGGGAGGAGGAAATTTCCTTCTCTGAAAAGGATGCAGCCCGATTGCAACATCCCCACAACGACGCCCTTGTGATCATGCCTCTCATAGGGCGCCACAACATCCATAGAATGTTGATGGATAACGGAAGTGCGTTAACATCTTGTTCGCTTCAACATTCGAAAGAATGAATTTGGACGAGGCCGACCTGAAGCCTGCCTCATTCCTTTTATACGATTTTACAGGGGACCACCTAATCCCAAATGAACGATTTCACTCCCAGTCATACTGGGTGATTTTGACAAAGTGACTAAGGTAACGGAGTTCTTGGTAGTGGATTGTCCATCCGCTTTTAATGGAATCCTCGGGCGACCTCTGTTGAGAATCTTCAAGGCAGTCACTTCAATATATCATCTGAAGATGAAGTTCCCTACCTCGATGGGGATAAGGGAAGTGAGCGGATCTCAGTGCGCATCTCGCGACTGTTATGTGAAGGCAGTGCAGATGGTGTGTAAGGGGAAAGGCATCTAGCGCGACATTCCTAGACAGGCAATGGCAATCGGTCGGATCGAGCCACAACCTAGCCCAGCCGAGGATAATATGGATCCTCGTATTCAGGATTCCCTTCCAGTGGGCTAGTTAAGGACCTGTCTGAAGTACTGGTCGACAAGAACGAATCGAGGAGGGTGTTACAGATTGGGAACAATCTCAACCCCCAGCTCGCCAATGAACTGACTAACTTCCTCAGAGGGAATATCGATGTGTTCACTTGGTCGCACACGGATATGGTCGGGATCAGTTCAGATATTATTTGCCATGTGTTGACCATCGACAGTGAAGCCAAGCCAGTTCGTCAAAAGAGGAGAGCTATGGATCCGGAGTGATATGCTGCCTTGAAACTTGAGGTAGATAACCTCCTTCGAAGTGGATCTATCCGAGAAGCGCTCTACCTTACCTGGGTTACCAACCCGGTCCTGGTAAAGAAGCCTAACAGCAAATGGTGAACGTGCGTCGACTTCACCGACCTCAACANGTGGAGATTAAGTTTTACATCTCGCAAACTAGGAAAAATTTGCATTGTTGAGCGCGAAGGGATTTGGGAGTAGATGGATTCTCTTAATAAATTGGTACATTGTATTTTCGTAATGGATTTTTGCTTAAGGTAGGCATAAATAGTGACCTAGGACAGCAAGTTTGTAATCAGTTGACAAAAAATAAATAATAAAATATTTTTAATATTTATATTTTATAAAAAGAAAATTAAAAATAAAAAACATATAATTTTATAGGTATTAATCAATGTAAAAGGTTTCAAGTGTGATTATAAATTACAACAGAAATGTTTTTCTATCAAAATTATATGTTATTAGTTTCACATTCTATATGATAGATTTCACATATTCTATCTTATTTTTCAAGTACTTTTTTAAAAAAATTCGTGATATAAATTCATAACCATTGATTTATGATAATCCAATAATTTAAAAATTATTTGATTGTCATTAAAAATTAACTAATTCTAACTTTTTATTCAAATCTTTTGGATTAAATTAAATCAAAGGTTATGAATTTGTGTCACAAATCTGGTTAAAAAAATTGTATTACTATAGCATAATCCTTTATAAATTTTACGTTTAATTTTTTTTTTAGCTTTTTGAATCTTATATATGTGTGGTAAATTTGATCACATTGATATAGAGATAATAACCAAAATTGACTTATTTTAATCATAAATTATTTTATCCTCACTTTGAATCAAGGCGAAAATAGGACCTAGAGAAAATTTGGTACATATATTATAATATATGTCATTGTGTCATTGAACTGTCTCAGCATATCAGCAAATAAGATTGTGAGACCACCGAATATAAGTATTTCTCCTTCATATTTCTATCCGATAGAGTATCAACCTTTTTTATTTTATTATTTTTTTTTTTTATATGAAAACTGTAACCTTTTTTTTTTTTTTTTTTGGTTTGAATCTCTTTCTTTCTATAGCTTAACTATGTTACCTTCACTATAACTTCACATCTCTTTCTTTATCGTCTAAATAATAGTTTATTGTTTTTCAAAAGAATTGTTTAATGACACTTTTTCACTCATAAACTTTTTAAAATACCATTTTACTATCTAAATTTATTTTTTGACGACGATTAATGAGCAAACTTGGTCCAGACTATTGGAGATTTTGAAGAAGGGAGGCCGATGAGTCTTTTGGTGTTGGAAGGTTGGATTTTGATGGTTGAGATTGATCGAAATTTAACTTAAGAGGGGTGACTGCGCAAAGTCGCAAACCTTAATCACTCGATTGACTGCGATTGACGAGGTTGGTAGGAGTAGGGTTTGAGGGGTTTTAGTGAGTAACGATTAGGGATGAAAATGGTAGTGGTGTGAGGTCGCAACAATGTCGGAATCGGAAATGAAATATAAATTTGTGTAATAAAGTAGTATTTTAAAAGCCTATAGGTGGGAAAGTGTCATTAAGTCATTATTTGGGTGGGTAAAAGTCGATTACTTCTTTCAAAAATATAACATCTTGTTTATTGATGTTAGTAGACAAATTTTTATTGTTCTATAAAAATTAAACTAAATTGTTTACTCTTAATATTTAATTAATACTATCTAACAACATTAATATCCATCTAACCAGAATTAAAAAAAAAAAAAAATCATGTATCGTTAACTTTTAGAGGTGGGCAAACAGACTGGGATAACACTGAAGGACTGGTCCAAAATTGGTTGGATCCGATCTTGGGCTCGTCACTTTTGTGAGGGCTTTGATCGGTCCGAGGCTCGGGCCAAGACCGGTCCTATGCACGCTTGATAAAAAATTAATTTTAACCACTAAATTTAGTATGTAATTCATATATTATAGGGAGTTTTGGTTATTTACCAGGGGGTTTTGGTCATTTGTTAGGGGTGTTATGAAATTAACTCAGTCACCCCTCTCCAGGGCTCGGACCGGTCCTACAAGGATTAGTTCTCCCAAGGACTGGGCCCTTTGGGCTCGGGCTTTTTGCCGGCCCCTATTAACTTTAACATTGTTCTAATTATAACCATGTTGGGGGATCTAAGGTCAATTCTTTTATAAAAAGAAAATTATTTATAAAAAGAAATGATGATATCTTTTGACTAGGACTTAGTCCAATGACAAGGGATCACGTCTGCTTTTGTTAGAAGTCGGTAGCTGACCAAAAACGTTGTCGTGTCTGAAAGTTTAAAGACAAACCTAGTAATATAATAATGTCACTAATCACGTCTTCATGGGATTAAATCAATGAAGGACACATCACATTTTAATTATTTCATTAGATTTGATTCTCTTTATTATTTTTGACATTATACCATCAATAAAATTTGTAATATATGGGATTATTATTATGCTATTAGTAAAGCTAAAAAAAAAAAGGGCTCTATATAAATTGATTTTTATTTTTAATTTTTTATAAATATTTTGTAAATAAATTCATTGAAAAATCCATTGATTTGGATACATTAATTCAAGCCTTAAATAGTTTTAAAAGAACTCATATTTTATACTCATTATCAAATAAAATAGTTTTCATTTTATACACGAAAATACATTAAAAATAAAAATTAATACCTTCAATAATTTTGATAAATGGGTTCGGATAGAATTCATTTTCAAGCTTCCAAATATATACATATACCCTTCCACCATTGCAATGTGGATCTGATAAGATGATCCAAAAGTTTTTATTTAAGTATAAGATTCTAATATATAACACACCTCTAATAAAATGAATCCAAACGATATTTAAGTATAATTATAATAAAATTTATATTTGAATATATTAATTAAACTATTTCTGGTGATCGAGTGATCCATTGTTTATAGCCGAAAAGAAGAGTCACAAGAGGTTTTTCAAACCATAATAGATATTTTTCTTTATTTGTTATTTTTTTTTAAAACTATTTTTAACTTCGCATTTTCTTAATTTCCATCTAAATAAGAAGTTTTATAAACTAGGCTATTTTTATCGCATGTTTCTTTAAAGTGAAAGTGAAATTTATGCTTTATTATTTTTTTTTTCCCTTTCCATTCACTCGGATCTCTTCTGTTTCCTTGATTTTGTTCTTCTAAGGATATCTCTTGTTCTTGTTTAATCCCCTTAATATATTACTTAAGATGTCTTGAGTTCGAGTCTCTCCTTGATTACTAATAGAATAGTTATTAAAATTATTATTTGATTGATAGTTTCAAGATCTTAAGAGATTAATTGAGGTACGCATAAACTAACTTGAATATTTCTTATCATACAATATATTATCATACAATATATATATATATTTTTTTTTTTTTTTTTTTTAGGACCGTGTATTGAGGACAAGGATTAATCGAAATTATAATAATGTAGAATCGTGAGAATATGATGTCATGTAATAATTTTATGTCATTAAAGCAAACCTGAGTTATTGTTGTGTATCTTTAAAACATAACTATTCCTTCTTCTCTTAATCATCAATCCCCTTTTTCAACATCCTCTCTCTCTCTGTAAAGTTAACCCCGTTGGACCCGGTCCATTTCTTCTGTTCATCAATCTCTTACCTTTTCATTTTTCTCGTTTACCCCCGCTCTCTTTCTGTTTCTCTCTCTCTCTTGCTTTCTCTTTTAGGGTTTTGATTCATTCCATAAACAACCAGCTTTAATTCGCCATGACTTCTGTGAGGAGTAACCTGGTGCCTCCTGGGCTTGTGTCTAATCTTGAAGAGGTGCTTTTGAGGAAGAAGAAGAACAATAGCAATGAGGATAGTGAGAAATCAAAGGATGACGCGTGTGATTCAACCGAACCTTCCACCTCTGATTCTGATAGTTCCAAGCCTGTTGTTTTGGTCACTAATGGAGATGGAATTGAGTCCCCTGGCCTTGTTTATCTTGTTCAAGCTTTGGTTAATGAAGGCCTCTACAATGTTCATGTTTGCGCTCCTCAATCGTGGGTTTATTTTCTTCCATTTCTTTTTTCATTATCATGCTTTTTGGATTAAAGTTTAAATTTTGGTATCTGGGTTTTGTTAAATTTGTGGTTTTTCTTTTTGTTGGTTCATTTGAGCATATGGGTTGTTTCTAATTTATCTAATTTGTTGTTTTTTTCTCTTTGATTTTTGTCATTTGGGTATCTGGGTTTTGTTTAGTTATGGATTTTATTTTGTGTTGTTTGTCTCAATTTATTATCTGGGTACTTGTGTTTTGTTTAGATTAAGAGTGCCTTTTTTGTTTTTATTATTTTTTATGCTTTTTGTTTCTCTGAATTTTTGTATTCGAGGATATGATTTTGTTGTCTAATTTGATTGTTTCTTGTGTTTTGAATTGATTTTCATATCTGGGTAGGCTTGATTTTATTGGACTTTGTTGTGTTTCTCAATTGAATTTGATATTTAGGTGTGCCAATAACTTTCTCTTTCTCTTTTGCTATTGATATTGAATTTTGGAATATTTTGGTGATTTGTTAGTTTGTGAATGGATTGCTTTAGGGACAAATCACTATCTGGTCATTCTGTGACTCTGCGCGAAACTATTGCAGTTAATTCTGCTGAAATCGCCGGCGCCACAGCATATGAAGTTTCAGGTATGGCTGCAAATTTATACTGTTGCAACTTTTTCGTGAAGGCTGCTGTGATTTGATGTTATTCAATGAGGATGTAAAATTATCCTAATTGCCATATATTTTAGAAAAGCTTTATCTGGTATTGAATTTTAGGTCATACATATTTCAGTTATGCTATTCTTTTAAGAATGTGTAAATGCGATATGACTTATTGTTTTTCTCAGTGAATTATGAAATGTATCCTTTTTCCTTGATTGGTGATGAACTATTATCATTTTTCAATGAATATTACCCATCGTGCTGTGGCCTTATGTGTGAATTTGGTATGGTTTCTATGATTTAGTTCTTCTTGTTTGTTGTAATATAAACTTTGTTGTTGGTGCTTGTTAAACAGGGACTCCTGTGGATTGTGTGTCGTTAGCATTATCTGGGACACTCTTTTCTTGGTCAAAGCCTGTGCTGGTTAGCATTTATATAAGTCCTTGTTTGTACATGTGGATTTTAATTTTTAGCATTTTTCTCAGAGTTTTTATTTATTATGATTTCAGGTAATTAGTGGAATCAACCGAGGCTCAAGCTGTGGTCATCACACGTAAGTTGTTTTCCAATTAGATTATGTTACTCGTTTATAATTTGTCATTCTGGATTATCTTTGGAATAATTTGCTAGTTTACGTGATTCCTTTTGAATATGTACCACCTAGTGAATATCGCTTACAAGCTGTGGAAGGGCTAATTATTGTTTCCTATTAATCCTTTTGCCCCTTAAATGCAAAATGAATTTACTTGTATAACTTTGAAATTCACCAGGTTCTACTCAGGTGTGGTTGCTGGAGCTAGGGAGGCATTGATTTGTGGAGTACCATCTTTGTCTATATCCCTGAACTGGTGAGTTAATTGTCCTCTGTTCTATGGGATGTAATTGTAGCTTTTTTAAATCATTGATAAGTGATTATTTGGCTTTATGGTCTTTGATAGGAAGAAGGATGAAAGTCAAGAAAGTGATTTCAAGGATGCAGTCACTGTCTGTTTACCTTTGATAAATGCAGCTATTAGAGATATTGAAAAGGGAGTTTTCCCCAAGAGTTGCTCTCTGAATATTGAAATCCCTACAGCTCCATTGACCAACAAGGTTTTTCACTCTAAAGTAGTCTATGAAATTTCGGATTTTACCTATGGTTCTTGTGAGATTGGCTATAGTTTTGACAGTCTCTTTTACATGGAATGATGTGATGATTTTGGTGGGACTAGGGGGGAGGGAAGGTTAGCAGCGGGTCGGGTTTGGGATCCATGGTGAAAATCTCCAATTGATTCATCTTCATCTGCCGATACATAGAGCTGGCATTTTATCCTTTTAAAGCACAAATTATAGTTTCCTTTTCGTCAGCCCACTTTTAATCTTTCTTTTTCCTTTGAATTTCTTTAAACTTGATCTTGCTGGTTTCAAGTGATCCCCACCACTAACCTTTGAAAAAAAAAAATTCTACTTTTTCTTCTGTTTCTCCTGATTCCCATTAAAAAATTTTCCTTTTTCTACAAATTATTAAATAACATGACATTTTTCCTTTTATGATTGGCCTAGGGCCAGGTTGTTATTGCCATGCAATGGATATCTTTCATGTGTCATAAAGTGACCATGCATAAGTGTCCAACTCCCTTCTTTTGTCCGGCTTACTTGATCTCACAGCACAGTTTTATTCTGTATTGCCTTTTATTTATACTGAGATTCCACAGTGTTACCAGTTTTACATTTTACGGCTTACTGATATGCATATTTTTTATCTCATGCTTGACAGGGTTTCAAATTTACAAAGCAAAGCATGTGGAGATCCACTCCTAGCTGGCTAGCTGTTTCGGCAAACCGGCATCCTGCTGGGGCGCATTTCATGTCTAACCAACAAAGTCTTGGCATACAGCTTGCACAGCTGAGCCGAGATGCCTCTGCTGCTGTGAGTAGCTTATACAAATTGGATTCCACTTCCTCATCTTCTTTTTATTTGGAATGCATATTGTATATCCTTTGTGTTCACAGTACAAGAGATTTACCTGTCCTGTTTCTCTCAGGGTGCAGCTCGCCGTATAACTACACAAAAGAAGAATGTGGAGATTGAATCAGTTGGAGCTGCTGGTAAACCTGATACAAACCGGGTCAAGAAGTTCTTCCGACTAGAGGTAAATAAAACTTTTACCACTGAGCCTGAATTTCGAAGCCAATCTTGTACATTATCCTTTCAACATGGAAAACAGAGTTAACTTAGCCCAGGGTCGTTCGTTTTGGATTTTCTGTCTTATTTCTCTTTCACCAAACAACTGTAGTTTTAATTTTAGCCCTGAACTAAATCAGCCATGGTAACCTGCAGTTTCTAGATAAGGAGCAGGAAGATACAGACGAAGAACTGGACTTTAGAGCGCTTGAAAATGGATTTGTAAGTTAAAACTATAATTTCCTGTTTACCGGTGAAATGTATTTGATACAATGAGAAGTTCCACTGAAACCCGAAAAGGCTCGTTCCATAATGCTCGAACTCTATTATTACCACAGTAACATTACTATACCAATATCAACTGTTGAAGTGACGCTGTTCATTTTTCGGCTGTCAATCCAATCGTAGCGATTTTACCGTACCAGCAAGGCAGTATTCCGTGGATTACCGTCATCTAACTTGTTCATTTTCGCTTGAAATTGCAGGTGGCCATAACCCCTTTATCGCTTCAACCACAAACCGGGTCCGATACACAAGCAGCTGCATCAGAATGGATCTCTACTGCACTGCTTACCAGCGAGCAACAAACTTCAACACAAACATAAGAGATTCAGAGACTTTGTACACAGTTTCATGACCAATTCTGTTAATTTAATCATCAATTGTTTTTGAGTTTCCTTTATTATTATTATTATAATTTATTTTTATTTTTTTGTATTTTTATTTTTTTCTTGGGTTTCAAATATTGGTGGCATTGGCGTTTGGGTGGGTTTGTTTGTCCTAGTTGATACAAAAATGTAATTGCAATTGCAAACAGCCGGGTCTAAATTTATGACCCTGTGCTTTATTCTGTATTTTCTAAATCTTGTTGCATAAATTAATTTTTTTTTTTTTTTTAATTTTTGCGCGATAAAAGTCGGAGCACAAAAATACCATTGGCTAATTTAATAGAATTTTTTGAATTATTTTCATATTTTGTTTACTCAAGGGATGATATTAAGAATTAAATCCCGTACCTTACCTTGTAGAGCAAACTAAATGCCTAAGTGAGTTGCTTGACATCAATTATTTAACCAATAATGGGTGGGTGGAGTGATAGGGTCAAGGGGTTTGTTTTCCTTGTGGTTTCAGATTAGAATCACAAAAATAGTTGTTAATATTGTTAGTTATGGATGGTAGGATTTGTCTTAGTTTTAGGTTTGAATCACAAGAACAGTTGAAAATATTGTTAGTTTAGTTATGGATAACCCTACCAAATCATGTGAGAAAGTTATGGTAAAAGGCTGTAATTTAGGTGTTGGAAGGCTTGTTTGGGTCACGGGATAATCCTACTAAACCATGTGGGAAAGTTATGGTAAAAGGCTGTAATTTAGGTGTTTGAAGATGGCAATGTACGTTTCTACATACGTTACACACAGTCAAATGACAAGACCACTGCAGTGCTAGTGAGAGAAAGAGACAGAAGTTGAAGATGATGAGATGAGGTCTGGGTTGTTATTAATAGTTTAATACACATTACTAACATAGACGGTACTGGAAGACTAGTAATAGATTTAGAAAGAAAACAACAGCAAACTGAAAATGGTTCTTAGCTGCAGAACGTCCATTCATCATCAACTGAACTCTCTGTGCTTCTTCAGTTTAATGACCTGATAGTTTAATTTTACAATTAAACACATTGATGGGGACGAGGGTCCTCTCTCTTCTTCTCTTAAACACATACACATTGGCTGCAAAATGGTTTTCAGACTGCAGTGCCAATTTAAGTCGCCTGACTTCTGTGAGGAGTAACCTGGTGCCTCCTGGGGTTGTGTCTAATCTTGAAGAGGTGCTTTTGAAGAAGAAGAAGAACAATAGCAATGAGGATAGTGAGAAATCAAAGGATGACGCGTGTGATTCAACCGAACCTTCCACCTCTGATTCTGGTAGTTCCAAGCCTGTTGTTTTGGTCACTAACGGGATGGAATTGAGTCCCCTGGCCTTGTTATTGTTCAAGCTTTGGTATGAAGGCCTCTACAATGTTCATGTTTGCGCTCCTCAATCGTGGGTTTATTTCCATTTCTTTTTCATTATCATGCTTTGGATTGAAGTTAAATTTTGGTATCTGGGTTGTTAAATTTGGTGGTTTTCTCTTTGTTGGTTCATTTGAGCATATGGGTTGTTTCTAATTTACTAATTTGTTGTTTTTTTCTCTTGATTTGTCATTTGGGTATCTGGTTTTTGTTAGTTATGGATTTTATTTTGTGTTGTTTGTCTCAATTTATTATCTGGGTACTTGTGTTTGTTTAGATTAAGAGTGCCTTTTTTTTTTTATTATTTTTATGCTTTGTTTCTCTGAATTTTGTATTCGAGGATATGATTTTGTTGTCTAATTGTATTGTTCTTGTGTTTTGAATTGATTTTCATATCTGGGTAGGCTTGATTTTATTGGACTTGTTGTGTTTCTCAATTGAATTTGATATTTAGGTGTGCCAATAACTTTCTCTTTCTCTTTTGCTATTGATATTGAATTTTGGAATATTTTGGTGATTTGTTAGTTTGTGAATGGGTGCTTTAGGGACAAATCACTATCTGGTCATTCTGTGACTCTGCGCGAAACTATTGCAGTTAATTCTGCTGAAATCGCGGCGCCACAGCATATGAAGTTTTAGGTATGGCTGCAAATTTGTACTGTTGCAACTTTTTCGTGAAGGCTGCTGTGATTTGATGTTATTCAATGAGGATGTAAAATTATCTAATTACCATATATTTCAGAAAAGCTTTATCTGGTATTGAATTTTAGGTCATACATATTTCAGTTATGTATTCTTTTAAGAATGTGTAAATGCGATATGACTTATTGTTTTCTCAGTGAATTATGAAATGTATCCTTTTTCCTTGATTGGTGATGAACATATTAATTTTTCAACGAATATACCCATCGTTCTGTGGCCTTATGTGTGAATTTGGTATGGTTTCTATGATTAGTTCTTCTTGTTTGTTGTAATATAAACTTTGTTGTTGGTGCTTGTTAAACAGGGACTCCTGTGGATTGTGTGTCGTTAGCATTATCTGGGACACTCTTTTCTTGGTCAAAGCCTGGTGTGGTTAGCATTTATATAAGTCCTGTTTGTACATGTGGATTTTAATTTTTAGCATTTTTCTCAGAGTTTTTATTTATTATGATTTCAGGTAATTAGTGGAATCAACCGAGGCTCAAGCTGGGGTCATCACACGTAAGTTGTTTTCCAATTAGATTATGTTCATCGTTTATAATTTGTCATTCTGGATTATCTTTGGAATCATTTGCTAGTTTACGTGATTCCTTTTGAATATGTACCACTAGTGAATATCGCTTACAAGCTGTGGAAGGGCTAATTATTGTTTCCTATTAATCCTTTTGCCCCTTAAATGCAAAATGAATTTACTTGTATAACTTTGAAATTCACCAGGTTCTACCTAGGTGTGGTTGCTGGAGCTAGGGAGGCATTGATTTGGGAGTACCATCTTTGTCTATATCCCTGAACTGGTGAGTTAATTGTCCTCTGTTCTATGGGATGTAATTGTAGCTTTTTTAAATCATTGATAAGTGATTATTGGCTTTATGGTCTTTGATAGGAAGAAGGATGAAAGTCAAGAAAGTGATTTCAGGATGCAGTCACTGTCTGTTTACCTTTGATAAATGCAGCTATAGAGATATTGAAAAGGGAGTTTTCCCCAAGAGTTGCTCTTGAATATTGAAATCCCTACAGCTCCATTGACCAACAAGGTTTGCACTCTAAAGTAGTCTATGAAATTTCGGATTTTACCTATGGTTCTTGTGAGATTGGCTATGTTTTGACAGTCTCTTTTACATGGAATGATGTGATGATTTTGGTGGGACTAGGGGGGAGGGAAGGTTAGCAGCGGCGGGGTTGGGACCATGGTGAAAATCTCCAATTGATTCATCTTCATCTGCCGATACATAGAGCGGCATTTTTCCTTTTAAAGCACAAATTATAGTTTCCTTTTCGTCAGCCCACTTTTAATCTGTCTTTTCCTTTGAATTTCTTAAACTTGATCTTGCTGGTTTCAATGATCCCACCACTAACCTTTGAGGTCCTACAAGGATTAGTTCTCCCAAGGACTGGGCCCTTTGGGCTCGGGCTTTTTGCCGGCCTCTATTAACTTTAACATTATGTTGGGAGATCTAAGGTCAATTCTTTTATAAAAAGAAAATTATTTATAAAAAGAAATGATGATATCTTTTGACTAGGACTTAGTCCAATGACAAGGGATCACGTCTGCTTTTGTTAGAAGTCGGTAGCTGACCAAAAACGTTGTCGTGTCTGAAAGTTTAAAGACAAACCTAGTAATATAATAATGTCACTAATCACGTCTTCATGGGATTAAATCAATGAAGGACACATCACATTTTAATTATTTCATTAGATTTGATTCTCTTTATTATTTTTGACATTATACCATCAATAAAATTTGTAATATATGGGATTATTATTATGCTATTAGTAAATTAAATTTGTAAAACTTAAAAAAAAAAAAAAAACTCTATATAAATTGATTTTTATTTTTAATTTTTTATAAATATTTTGTAAATAAATTCATTGAAAAATCCATTGATTTGGATACATTAATTCAAGCCTTAAATAGTTTTAAATGAACTCATATTGTATACTCATTATCAAATAAAATAGTTTTCATTTTATAAACGAAAATACATTAAAAATAAAAATTAATACCTTCAATAATTTTGATAAATGGGTTAGGATAGAATTCATTTTCAAGCTTCCAAATATATATATATATACCCTTCCACCATTGCAATATGGATCTGATAAGATGATCCAAAAGTTTTTATTTAAGTATAAGATTTTAATATATAACACACCTCTAATAAAATGAATCCAAACGATATTTAAGTATAATTATAATAAAATTTATATTTGAATATATTAATTAAACTATTTCTGATGATCAAGTAGTCGATCGTTTATAGTAGAAAAGAAGGGTCACGAGAGGTTTTTCAAATCATAATAGATATTTTTCTTTATTTGTTATTTTTTCTTTAACTATTTATAATTTCGCATTTTCTTGATTCTCATTTAGATAAGAAGTTTTATAAACTGGACTATTTTTATCGCATGTTTCTTTGAAGTGAAAGTGAAATTTATGCTTTATTTTTTTTTCCCTTTCTATTAGCTCGAATCTCTTCTGTTTCCTCGATTTTGTCCTTTCGTGGATACCTCTTGTTCCTGTTTAATTCCCCTAATATATTATTCAAGATGTTTTGAGTTCGAGTCCCTCATCGATTACTAGTAGAGTAGTTACTAAAATTTTTATTTGATTGATAATTTTAGGGTCCTAAAAGATTAGTTGAGGTACGTATATTCTAACCTGAATACTTTTGATATATATATATATTTTAGGACCTTAATACGTGTACTCTGGACAAGGGTGAATAGAAATTATAATAATGTAGAATCGTGGAGAATATGTGATGTCATGTAATAATTTTATGTCATTAAAATAAAAGCAAACCTGAGTTATTGTTATGTATCTTTAAAACATAACTATTCCTTCTTCTCTTAATCATCATTCCCCATTTTTCAACATCCTCTCTCTCTCTCTCTCTCTCTCTCTCTCTGTAAAGTTAAGTAGTTAACCCCGTTAGACCCGGTCCATTTCTTCTGTTCATCAATCTCTTACCTTTTCATTTTTCTCGTCTACACCCCTCTTTCTCTGTTTCTCTCTCTCTTGCTTTCTCTTTTAGGGTTTTGATTCATTCCATAAACAACCGGCNCCCCGCCTAATTCCGGCGGTGTCTTGACCCCCACCCCCCACCACCATCTGATCCCCCAAACCCACCACACTAAAACCTCTCTACCCCCCACCCCGCAGATCCCAAAAATGGCCTACCACCATTCCATTTGGCTTCGCACAATCACTGCTCCTTGGCTAGATTCTGGTCGATTTCAGGCACCAACACCCCACCTGACACTACCGTCGGCTTCATCCCCCCACCCTCATCAAAACCTCAACTCTTCCTACTTTCCCACCGACGTTTCGCTTCACTTCCTCTCCCCCACCCAAGTTCATTGCTGGCCTTGCTTCAGGCAGCGATTGTGGCCTAACAAGGCCACACGACGACCAAGATTAAGGCACAGCACTAGGCAAAGTTTAAAAGGCGCAACACCGGCCAAGTTTTTATGCTACGATGGTGGCATTCTTGTCCCACCTCGTCATCTTGCACAATCCTTTCTCCCCAACCTATCTCTCTTCTTTATTTTTTTTTTCAATTTTTTTCCTTTGTATTCCGAATAGATGTTTTGATTTCTTTTTATTTATTGAATGAATAGGTGTTTTGATTTTGATTTATGTTTTTTGGTTACTGTGATAGTTGTGGATAATGGCGGATAGTTTGTACATGATGGTGGATAGGTTTATGATTGATTGTTGATGGTGAAGTAATACTGGGATGGGGTGATAAGGATGGGTTTGGCACACAGTGGGTTGAAGTGTTTTGGGTGTGGCGTTCCTCTGTGTTTATAGGAGGAGGAAAGGTAGTTGCGGTTTAAGGAGATACACCAACATCACACTACTTCATATAGTGAGACCTAGAAAGTAAAAATGTCAAAAGTTATCAACTCAAGGTGGACCTTACTCAGACATGCCCGCAGGATGAAATTAATACTGGACCCATTTCGACCTAAACCTGGACCATTTTGAACGACAACTAACTTTCTCCACTCTGCTTAATATGTCAAAGCAAGTCAAATAACACTGTTTTTGTTTCTTCCAAGAATATTATCTACTCATTTTGACAAATTTTCACTCAAATTGACGTTACCAATTATCATTAACATGTTAGATAATAATTAAGAAAATAAAGGTTTGGTGAATGTAAACTCCATCAATTAATTCACATGCAATTTTGTGTACGGAATTGTACCATCTGGCCAAATTAACAAGTAGGAAAATAAGCTTCATCTTCAGCCATCACTGTTTTTTTTTTCTAATATTATCGATAAATAAGGTGAATATATTTTAAGTTTTAACAAGTGAGGAAAGAGGGTGCAAAGCAATAGCATGTCTGCATCAAATTTTCATACATTTTCAAGAATAACAGTAAGATCACAGTACCTGGATAAAATTTTCCAGGCCAAACAGGATTGCTTAGACTCAAAGGACAAGATCTTGAATTATTTCTTGAAAAGACTAAAAGTATTTTTTTTTTTTTTAATGTTATAAGAAAATCCCAAACAGTAAATAACCATATATACTGTACTTTGACTAGTAAGTATTTGAACTATTTCAGTTTGAAAGACAAGTACGTAAAAAACTTTTTTAAAAGAGAAAAGAAAAGAAAAGAAAGAAACGAACTGAAGAAGATCAAATGATTACTGAAACTCACTTGTGCCGTAGTCAGGCCAAGGTCTTCCATGATTCCAGACTCAGCCGGTGATGAATATCCCACCTGCAAATCAAATAACTCATCTTCAATATGAAATAATCATGTAATCAAGCAAGGAATAATGAATAATGAATAAATTTTCAGTTTAATATGATATATAATTAAACTTACGGCATGTCCATAAACGTAGGAGCCGCAAACGGCAACCAAGCTGCTGAAAATAAGCTTAAAAGTGACGGGCCCTGATGGCTGATCATCTGGCAGAAGCGGTTCACTCTGAAAGCTGTTATGAATGGAGACTCCACTTTTCATAATGAATGAACTCGTTAGTAACCCTTCCGCCATGTTTGAATATCTGCAAGAGAGAAGAGATGAAAAGAGAGAGAAATTAAGGAGAGGTTTGAGTGTTAGTTTGCTTAGCTAACTTTTTCTCGCATATTATATATTTGACTCTGTATATTGTATAGGAATTACTGATGTAAAGCGTTGACGACAAGACTTAACCAGGACCATTCGCTTTCAAGTTTCCTCTTGTAGTTTTTTACAATACGTTTTCAAGCATCTTGTTACATTAGCACCCAATTAAGTAACTTAATGTATGATCAAGATTTGGGTCATTCTATTTAATTATCAGTATATAAAAACATGCTTTATTTTATTCTACCTTTTCTTTAAATATTAATGTTACGTATACTAACATAAAATTAATTCTTATAATTATCGTGATATTGTCATATAAGCAATCCTATCAATTAGGATTGAATCTCTTTGATACAAAATTTTGTGACCCAATAAGATGATATACATGAGAAGATATAGGATACTTAAAGTTCTTTAGAAATTGGGCTAATTCATGCAGGGAAACTAAAATTAGTTGGATTATCTCTAGAAACTGCAGTGATTTGCTTATGCAGAAGTTTTCTGTCTTTTGATGGGAGAGAAAACAAAGACCTTTGGAGTTGTGTTGATTTTTAGATTTTTTGAGTGACTTGATGGTAGATACCAACCTGTAGTCTTAGCTTTTCCTCTACCTATTTTGAGTAAAGTCCAAATAGATAACAACTAAGTAAAGCAGGAAAAAAAAAGGTGTTCTGCATTCCTTTCATTTAAGAATAAATAGCAACAAGTGGAACATTTATCTCCACAAAAATAGGAATGACTAAACCCAACGTTCAAGTTGGTTTTTTCTAGAACTAACAACCCAATAAACTAGGCTAGACTTATTCAAATACTAGACTAATTCAAAGTTTATTCAACCAAAACAATGTATAAATAATTCCATAAAATAATACTCGTATCAACTCCCTTCCCCTTAAATTTCAGCCTAGTCCACAAGGCAAATATTCGAAAATTGTTTCTAAATTAGAACTGCGCTGATCATTAAAACAAATAAAATGCAGGTATAGTCAGTCCAAGATAAACCATCTCACCTAAATAAAAATGCCTTCAAAGCTAAAATCATACATACTTCTACAAGCCTTTTTTTTCTAAGTTATTTGATGATCTATTTCATAGAGACCAAATTCTCTCTCTCTTATTTTTTTTTTTTTTTTTTTTTTTTTTTTTTTTTTGTTCTCGACATTAGAGGATACATCAAGTCTCCCATTGATCTCCAGCATGATCATGTTAACTTATTGGTATATTATTCTAACGGGAATCATTCATCATTGATTCTTGTATTTCTTCTAACGCTCGACCCTTGGTTTCTGGCACCACTTTGCAATGAATAGAACACCAAGAGCACAATGCCACCATATATGAAGAATATTCCTGAAATATGTATAAATAATAACTCAGCAACTTCAACTCAAAATAATACTAGTACTTGTACCCTTTCCTAAAACAAGTGATTTCCCATGTAGTTTAGAGATTCATCAATCTTCCTTTCCAATATTCGAACGCGTTTTCAGATGAATTTCAAAACCACTAGGATCTGTTTATTACGTGAGAATGAGAGAGAAAATTTGGCAATGAGGAGGCATCACCTGATTGGCTCCAATCAATAAATAGACGAATGTGTAGGAAACAAGCCAGGTCCAATCCAACTGAAAGGACACAAGGCTTCCAGCTGGACCTTTATGTTTTAGGAAAAATCTGGAACAACAATCCATCTTTATACACACCATTAAACTTTGTTTGTCTCAGAAGCTGAGAAAAATTTATGCATTACCTCTGACATTATAATCCAGGTATTCTCCTAGACCAAGTTGAAGAAGTCCCAATACACCTGATTAGCAGAATCAAACAAACAATCCATAAATAGACATATCAACCAGGATAATATGAGATCCTGATACATAGAAATAAATTTCATCTCTCATATTTTCCCCTCAGAGACAAAGAAAACAATGCTAGAGACATCTCATTACCAATACACCATAAAAGCCAACCAGGCATTGAGCTCCCCCTCAGAGCCAAGGTCCTGCTCATGGAAGCAAAGAGTCGTTACCAGAAACAACAGCCACAAGAAAAAGAGTAACAGCCGGCAGGCAGGGGAGGTGAAGTAAAGTGGTAATGATAAATATTTGCTATAAACCGAACCTTGACTAGAATGCCAATCCTGTAATACAGACCCAAGCAAGCTCCCGCTGTAGAAATCTGCAAACATTTGTAAAATTCAGCTTTTGGTTTATTTTGTTGATAATCAACATTCAAACTTAAACATAAGATTTCTGTTCATTCTAACCAGTAACATCGGCCGCCTTCCAGCCCTGTCTATCAAGAAAGTCCCAAAACAGTTGTTTATATCTGCAGAAGAATATCAACTTAGCTGAGGTTTACATAATCACAACAATTGCTAGAGTTACACATATTGAGGCTGTAATAACCTGAACAATAGATGCTGCTATGTACCAATCCTGCTCGGAAAGCCATTGTAAAATATAAAAATTAGAAGTGTAGTCATATTTGTAATTCCATATTACTTTTTTAATCTATCTTATGGAGAATTAAAATGATCACATAGTTACCAGCATCCTCAAAAATGGTGCTTGCATAGAACAAAAAACCATAAACTCCCCCAAGTCGTGTGGAATATAATCAGGCCAACTCCACTGAAACAGTTTTGAAACATCATAAATCAAATAAAAAATAAAGGGATTACCGGCTGCTGCAAGATTTGGATGAATGAAGTATAAGGCTTACAATAGTGTATAAAGATATTTCCGTTGGAACATGTGGCAAATCCACCTTCTGACATCTGATTTAGATATTCTGTATATTCCTGCCAATTCAAACAAAATCCTGTCTCATTTCTGCATCTAACTGAGAAAGGTAATTTCAAAAGCTTAAAAAAATGCTCTCTGAGTTGAAGCTCAGAAAAAGTACTCATGAAAGATTTGAAACTTACTTTGATTTCAGCAGCTTCTGGCGCAATATCAGCATCCGGCCCCCTCAGGCGCCGAAGAGAATCTTCAAACTCTTTCATTTTACCACATTTGCCTGCAGACAATTGCACTCACTCTTTCAGCTTATTATGAAGTAATATAACTAATGGCACCTAAATTATGTCAATTTAGTCTTTAACAAGTGCCATTAACCGAAACACATCTACTAGTTGAAATAATCCAAACGTTTATAAATTAACACATATTTCATTTGCAGGCCATGTGAAATACTGCAGTATTACTAAAAACTGTATTCTATTTCATTTTTCAGCTAAATAATTATATCCAAATCAATTTCAGTAAACTCACCAGCCTCGGGGGGACTCTGGAATGAAGAATAGGCAAGGAGTTGTATTAGTCCTGGAACAATTCCTGCAAGTAAAATCACATACAAACTAATTTAGTTTTTGAACACCTAGGCATCATTGTATTAGAATCATAAAGAGCTTGTAGAAGGACCTATAAACTAAGATTTGCCAGTTGACAAGAACCGAAGAGAAAGGCCAAAGATGGCCTAACCCCATTAGCAACTGCAAAAAGAATCATGCAAACACTAAGCAACTTGACTCAAAAAATATATAGAAGAGGAACCATTAATCAAAATTTTCTAAAATGGGGACATTTATATACCGGATTTAGCGCAGCAAAGCTCCCCTAACATGCTTAGGATTAATTTCTGCAACATATATGGAACCTGGATAACAATAGATTGCAGAAAGAGCATTATTAATTAATTTATCAAAGAAATGTCATTTGAAATGATATAGGAAGCTTAGAAATAATAATTACGCAATAAGAAGTAAGTCCAATTCCACATCCCAATATAAACCTTCCCAAGTCTAGCAATGTTGCATCCTGTCAACAAGCATTGAAAAATTTATAATTTTCAAACCACATTTGTCTGTAAAGAAGCTCCAAGAACAAAAACATGCATAGCAATTACAAGGCCATCCAAAATGCTACTTCATAAAGAACTTAGGTGGGAAGGGAAATGAAGAAACTTTAGCGAATATATTAAAACCCAACCAACATGCAGATCAATTCTGAAATTCCATTGCCTGTGTTACAACATCAATCACATTAATCACTGATAATTAATGGGAAAAAAAAATTATAAACACTAAGGATCTGAAAACTTACCCATCTTCGGCCAAAGAAGTCTGCAATTCTCCCACTTATCACTGCACCTAACATTCCTCCTATTGCAATTTTGAGCTGAAAACAGCATACTGAAATGTACAAGCATAGTTATCATGTAACTGTGAAATATTTTAACAAAAACTTGTACTTAAGCAAACAATTCATTAACCTTAACATCACAGTAACAGTTCAATTAATAATGGCATTGACAATAGTCATCTCCAGTGACAAGTTCAATTCATGTCAGGCCTTTGAGTTTATTGGTACATTGCCATACTATTTTTTTGTTCAACATAGTACAATGTCACAATTATTATAATATTCCTTAATTTATTCAGTCTTTTTGTTAGTTTACAATTCTTTTTTGAGTAAACGACATATTCCCACCCGGGTTAGTAAGTGACAATTTGATACCCCTAGTTTCATTTATTCCAAATTCGTACCCCTAACACTAACTCCGCTCCCTTTATTTTAACAGTGGAGGTAAAACAGACATTTTTTCTTTTTTTCTCTTCCCCTCCCATTTCTTCTCATCTCCGCCTCCTCCTCCCATCTTTTTTTTCCCTCCACATCTCAAAACCTCATCACAAAATAAAACAACACCCCCCCCCCGTGCGACTGCCGTTTCAGGCCCCCCGCCTAATTCCGGCGGTGTCTTGACCCCCACCCCCCACCACCATCTGATCCCCAAACCCCACACTAACACCTCTCCCTCTACCCCCCACCCCGCAGATCCAAAAATGGCCTACCACCATTCCATTTGGCTTCGCCCAATCACTGCTCCTTGCTAGATTCTGGTCGATTTCAGCACCAACCACCCCACCTGACACTACCGTCGGCTTCATCCCCCCACCCCATCAAACCTCAACTCTTCCTACTTTCCCACCGACGTTTCGCTT